ACACACACACACACACACACACACACACACACACACACACACACACACACACGCACACGAATAACTGGGTTTCTGTACCTTTCCTTTTATCTCTGATGGTTCAGCTCACCAAATCTCTTCCTACTCACCAACCACTCTTTTGCCTAAATCCCAATAAAAATAAAAACATGCTTATCCTTTTGCCTCTCAAGGATGAACCTGAAGAGACTCCATAGCAAAGACTCAAGTACCAATTATACCTCTTGTGCCTGGCACCTGGGTCCCCATCGTCCCTCTTATTATCTTTCTGCCTGCCTCTACTACACACATACACAGGTTTGAAACAAAGAGTAAGCGAAAGGGGGGACAAGAGCTTTCAAGCAGGAAGAGTCAAGTAGTCTCTAATCCACTGGAGGAAAGAAATGCAGTGTACATTTATTCTTACATCAGATTGAACACTACTTTCTGCCAGACACTTTGATAGATATTAAGGACACAATGGTGGGCCAGGTAAACACATTACCTTCCTTCATAAAGCCTATGATCTTCAGAAAGCAAGTTCATAGGAAAAATTAAAGGAAAACATAGCAAGAAACGTGGATGAAGAGGGAGGCAGAGGTTGTGTGTTAAGAGGTCTACATGCCACACCAAGGAGTCTGGACTCCTTAGGGGAGTGATGAGGAGATAATACAGGAGTTTATGCAGTAACATAGCTGCATTTGCAATTAGAAAGGTGCTCTGGCAGTTGTATTGAAAAATCGAGGTGGGATAAAACGGCCAATTCACAGTAATCCAAGAAAAATATTCTATGAACTTGAACAGGTGACGTGGAAGCAGAAAGAGAGAGGAGAACTTACCAATTAGATCAATGTTTTGAGTCTAAAATTCCAAAACACACAGATCACATGTGACTGAAAAGCAGAGCTGACCTGGACTTCAGGTGTGCTCAGCCGGGTAAAAAGTCTTCCAGAATCCTCACCCATTTACAATGCCCAAGACATCCAAAATTTACAACAATAATTGCTTTCAGTTATAAAAAATTAGAAATTATCCTTCACTCACAAGCAGGATTTTGTTTTTGTTTTTAGATCCAAGAGGGTACACGTAAAGGTTTGTTACATAGGCATTTACCATGATGGTAAAGTTTGGGCATCTATTAAGCTCATCACGCAGGTGTGGACGTGGCTGGTCTTCCATCCCTTATCCTTCTTCCTCCCTCCTCCCTTTAGGAGGACCTCAGAGTCTGTTGTTCCCATCTTCATGCCCATGTGTATTAAGTGTTTAGCTCCTATTTATAAGCCAGAACATGTGGTATTCAGTTTTCTGCTTCTGTGATCATTCGCTTAGTGTGATGGCCCCCAACGGCATTCATGTGGCTACAAAGGACACAATTTTGTTCTTGTTTACGGCTGCATAGTATTCCATGGTGGTATGTACTAAATTTTCTTTATCCAGTCCACCGTTGATGGGCACCCAGGTTGGTTTCATATTTTTACTATTGTGAACAGTGCCACAATAAACATATGAATGAGAGTGTCTTTTTGGTAAAGTAATTTATGCTTCTCTGGATATATATCCAGTAGTGGGATTGCTGGATCGAATGGTAAATCCATTTTAGTTATCTGAGAAATCTTCAAACTACAAGCTGGTGGTTCATGTTACTGGTGTTAGGTGGATAGACAGCAGGCTAATTTCTTGTCCTATTTTTTGAAGGTCCAATGTGGGAGTTGAAATGATGAAAGACCTTAAACACATTGATGTCTCCCGATGTAACAGTAAGTCTGTTCTGACCTGTGGGAGGTGCTACTTGGCACACATTGAATGAAGAGGAAATTTTATTGGTATTAACCCTAGTAATTGTAGTTCACCTGGATTCCCAGTAGGTATCTATGGTGTCGACCATACCAGACTTGAAAGAGAGGAATTAACTAAAGAAAAATTATTTCAAACTCTGTTTATAACAGATTCATATTTAAACCCATATTTAAGTTCATTTCCTAAAGTCTGAGACACTGTACAAATATCTTTGATGGATACCCACACCTTCAGAGTAGGAAAATTTTGGTTCTGGCTGTCTAATTCTCTGGTGGCATAATTTCCTTTTTTTTTTTGAGTTGGAGTCTCACTCTGTCACCCAGGCTAGAATGCAGTGGCACGCTCACGGCCACCCCAGCATTGACCTGCTGGACTCAGGCAATCCTTCTGCCTCAACTTTCCAAGTAGCTGGAAATACAGGTGCATGCTATCACACCCGGCTAATTTTATAACTTTCTAACATTTAGATGATAAACATAAATTTTATGTGAAGTATTCATCTTGTTAAATGTTCTGTTGACAAACACAAAGCAACGTTACCTATAAGAAAATATTTATACTTTCTTGGCCTTAAAATAATTTCCTTGCTTGAGCCCATGTGTTTAAGACCAGCCTGGGCAACTTGGCGAGACCTCATCTCTACAATAAATAAATAAATAAGTAAATAAATAAGCTGGGTGTGGTAGCATGCACGTGTAGTTCCTGCTCTTTGGAAGGCTGAGGCAGCAGAATCACTTGAGCCCAGGAGGTCGAGGATGTGGTGGCTGTGAGTGTGCCACTGCACTCCAGCCTGGGCGACAGAGTGAGACTGCAACTCAAAAAATAATAAATAAATAAAAATAAAATAACTTCCTATTAGTCTATCTTAGTTTACCAGTAGTATTTGTTATAAGATTTACTTCAACTAATAGTAATTTCTTGCAACTGTTTATTTATTCAGTAAATGTTTATTATGGGTCTAATAAACATAAGGCATTATGGGCAAATTGAGAAAAATAATGCTCAGTAACCTAGCGATCTGAAAGACATTCAACCCACCAACTCTATAAGGAAAGCAAAAAAGAGAATGACTTATGTCAAAGCTGGTATTGACTGAGCCCTGAAGGATATCTGTAGTCAAAGAATTAAAAAGAAAAAAACCTCACAAAGACCATGGGTAGTTTTGCTGGATTTGAGAAAATAATAATAATATGGAGAATCAGTTAAATTTGAGTAATTTCTAATTTCCTGTGCATATATACATTGAGATGAGGAGAAAATATTGCATGAGACATACTTATACTAAAAAAATTATTCCTTGCTAGAAGTAATTCAAATGTAATATGATGTGCTGTATTTTTTAACCTGATAACTATTTTTATCTGATAATTCTATTCATGAGCAAAATTATCATGGACTTGCTCAATAGGCCAATACGGGGTGAGCATATGGTGGAATGTATCAAAAGATGTGACTAGAAAGAGAGGAAGAAATGAAATCATGGAGGTTTTCAGTGTTCCCTCAGTAGGCTTTTGAAAGCCACAGAAACCGACTGAGGAAGCAAGTGGTATGATCCAATTTGTGCTTTAAAAACAAATTCACAGTTTAACAAATGTATGATCCATAGAAAGACAATTTAAAGTGTTACTAAGGTACACAAAATAAAAGTTATATAAATAGAAGAAAAAAACCCTGTTTCTGGATGACTTTATATTTAAAAGAATGTCAATTGTCTCTGTATCATTTTCTTATTGTTGCTGTAACAAAGTGGTTTCAAACAACAAAAATGGATCATCGTACAGTTCTGTGGTTCAGGTCCCACACTGGTCTCACTGAGCTAAAACCAGGGGCCATGTTCCTTTCTGGAGGCTTCAGGGGAGAATCCATTCCTTTGCTTTTTTCAGCTTCTAAAGGCTGTCTAGATCCCCTGTGGCCCTCTTGCTTTATCTCCAAAGCCACAACAGTGGGTCATGTTCTCATGTCACATCTTGGACCCACTTTCTTTCTGTCTTCCACTTCTGAGGACCAATGAGATTAGATTGAACCTACCCAGATAATCCACTATAACCTCCTCTATCTCAAAGTCTCTACCCTTAGTCATTTCTGGAAAGTTCCCTTTGCCAGGGAAGGTAATGAAGAATTAGGATTTAAAGAATTAGGATGTGGGTATCTTTGAGGGGCCATTAATCTGCCTACTGCAATCTCTACACTAATCAAAAACACAGTGAAATCCTAATATTATTACTCATATACTGTTCACAATACTCAAACCCATTCTAAAATTATTAAGTAAAATAAACATGTAAGAGTAATCATAGCCAGGCTCGGTGGCTCAGCCTGTAATCCCGCACCTTTGGGAGGCTGAGATGAGTGGACTGCCTGAGCCCGCGGGTTTGAGACCCGCCTGGGCAACTTGGCGAGACTTCATCTCTACAATAAATCAAAAATTAGCTGGGCGTGGTAGTGAACGCCTGTAGTTCCAGCTACTTGGAAGGCTGAGGCGGAAGGATCGCCAGAACCCAGTAGCTCGAGGCTGTGGTGGCTGGGAGCAGCCACTGCACTCCAGTCTGGGTGACAGAGTAAGACTCGAACTCAAAAAAAAAAAGAGTAATCTTAAGGGAATCTGTTATATGTTTGAAATAGTCCTTCAGAGCACTAAGTCTGACACTTGGCAAAATGAATATTTTGACACATAAAGATTACACAAGATACAGTTTACAATAATAAGTTTAAAGGCTATCTTCTCACTGAGTATGCCAGTATACTATTAGGATGGAGAATATTTAATAACTACAGATCTCAAGTTACCAGGGTCATGGCATTCAACCATCAAAAGTACAAGTATCAAGTCTCATAGAAGCCCAACCATGTCACACTGAAATTCTAACACAATTATAGGAGTGTGAAGATTCTCTTTAGAAAATCAAATCACCGGGACTTAAGAGCTGTTCCAGGCACATTTTCCAATTCTGCCACCAGCACCGTTTTGCCACTTTGTGCACAGGTAACAAATATAGTACCACTATGTAATGATGCACTATTCTGTGAACACAGGCAGCCAGAGACCACAAGGCCTACGAGGAACTAAGCAGGAAAACTAAAGCAGAGACTGCTGGTAATCCCGCAGTATCCATTTCCTGCTCCCTCTTTAGTGATAGAAGCCATTATTTTAGCAGGACCCACGGCCATTCTCCTAGTAGCTAGTTGCAGCTATGACTAAAGTTTCCCAGGAGTGTGGATGGAAACGATGAGGGAAACTTCTAAGTCATGCCTTTAAAAGCAAAACAGGCTCTCCCCTTCCATTTCTCCTCTTCCTATTGGCTAAACTGTAACTATAATGTGAGAAAGGAAACAGCCAGTCAGGTTAGACCATAAGATTGAAGCCAGGTGTTTAAAATGACAGAATAACAAGACAGAAGGAACTAGCGTCCCTGACACCATGCAACATTACATTAGCCCTAGCCTGCTCACTCTAGGACGGTTATCGGAGGGAGAAATCAATTTCTGTTTTTAAATCATTATCACTTTGGCATTACAGCATTCAACCTGTTTCCTAGTTAATACAGAATGTGGTATCAGTACATAAATGCTGATGTAGCAAAACCTAAAACTCGAGGCATTGGCTCAGTGATAGGATAGTGACATAGAGTAGCAAGGATACATGGCAGAAGAAATCTGATGATCTTTGTTATGTGGCAAAACATTTTGTGTGCTTCTACCTATAATAGCTTGGAAAGCAGGCCATGTGCCAACAATACCTGAAATTCTAGGGAAAGTTGGAATATTTTAGAATATTGAATAGTATTAGATGCTGCATGCCACTTTTAGCAAAGTCCTATTTTTTTAAAAAAAACATTAAGACAAGCTAAATATTTTATGCTGAAGATGTATAAATGTGGGCATATAATTATATTTCTAAGCCACTTTTTAAACATGGAAAAATTAAGATTATTCCTTCATTCATGCCACAAAGGTAACTGATGGAATACAAGGACACAAACTGGCACAATGCTGATATCATTCAGGTTAGAGACAAAGATCCAAGTTACCATAGAATCAGTAGAGATGGCAAAGGCTAGAACATCAAGACTTAGCTAACAACCAGACTTGGGAGAAAAGGAATAAGGAGGAGGTAAGATGACCCAAAATTTCCCAAAGGGACGAGAAGTGCCTAACCAAAGCTTGTGATCAAAAAATAGTACTAGGAAGGGTGAGAAGTAGAAAATTGGAATTACAGGAAGGGAGAAGGAGATCAAGGGAGGGACCACCAGGCAAAGTGGGGATGACAAGGGGGCCCAAACTTTACCTGTACAATGTCCACTTGTATACCTAATTGTGAATTGTGCCCCACATCTTTAAAATAAAGTTTGTTTTTTTTTTAAAGAAAGAAAGGGAAGGACCAAGAAAGAAGGATCAATGTTTAACTTATGGCAATAAAAACATTTACCACAAGTATCTCTGTTACCAGAGAGTGAAAAGATAAAAGGAAAATGCCAAATTGGAATGAAGCCTCCTGTTCCCGGTGGTTATACTTTACAAGGAAGGTGGATGACAACATTTTGCAACCAGATTCAGTTAGATACAATTACGATAAGCGGCTGTTTGAAAGGCAAACTCATTTACCTCCTGGGAGACTCTACACTGCGACAGTGGATCTACTACTTACCCAAAGTTGTAAAAAGTATGTAGTTATCCAATATCCTTTTAGAAATTCAGGCTCATTTTAAAGTACTTTTAATGAGGTCTCCATTCTCTCATTCGAGCTATGTTGCTTTTTACTTCACGTAACTTTCTAGATTTTAGTCTTTTGATTAAAAATATATTCTATTCTCTCTTTCATAAGAAATGTTCCTTTTTAAAAATTCCAATGAAAACTTTACAATTTGATTGACTTTCACACAAATGAACTGGTACTCTACCCTGAAGGGTAAGAAGGCTCCAGTTGGACATTATCTAGGTAGGTAAGTATTTTTAAATGATAGAATCTTCTTTTCTAAAATGTATATATATATATATAGATAGATCATTATCTTCTATTTCTAAAATCTTTTTTTTTTTTAATCAGCACTAAAGTTTTTTGATCTTCATGAAACTGGAACTTTTAAAAAACATTTGCTTCTGGATGCAGAAAGACACACTCAGATTCAATGGAAAAAACATAGCTATCCTTTCATCACCATTCAGCTCTACTCCCTGATAGATGATAATTATATTGCTCGTGAAATTGATCGGCTACCAGGTGACAGAAATACAGCCATCGTCATCACCTTTGGCCAGCACTTCAGACCCTTCCCCATGGACATTTTCATTCGCAGGGCCATTGGTGTCAGAAAGGCTATTGAACGACTGTTCCTAAGAAGCCCGGGCACTAAAGTGATCATTAAGACAGAAAACACCAGGGAGATGCATGCAGAGCCCGAGAGGTTTGGAGACTTCCATGGTTACATTCAATATCTTACCCTGAAGGACATTTTCAAAGATCTCAATGTAGGTATCATTGATGCCTGGGACATGACCATTGCATATGATGCCAATGCTATCCACCCACCTGATCAAGTGGTTGGAAATCAGATTAATATGTTCTTAAACTACATTTGCTAAAGTATAAATACTATACAGAATCACCAGGAACAAGTCTCTGCAAATAATCCCACATGTATTGCCAAATAAGTTTTATTCATTTTAGGAACTAAGAAAATGAAACTGAAAAGAATTTGTCTTGGTAGGAAGGTCACTCAAGGACAATGACAATTGATATGGGATGAAGAATGATCACACCATGCCTGGAACTTGTCTATGTGGGATAATAAATAGTTTTATCCTTTATGCAAGTTTGGCTTATGATTTCAGTTATTGTGACTGAAAGCATCTTACTTGAGGCTTTAGGAGGATAATAGAAAATAAACATATTGTCAGGCTTGGTGTCTACAAAAAAAAAATCAAAAAATTAGCCGGGCATGGTGGCACATTCTTGTAGTCTCATCTACCTGGGAAACTAAGCCCAGGACATCAAGACTATGATGAGCCATGGTCATGCCACTGCACTCCAGCCTGGGCAACAGAGTGAGACCCTGGCTCAAAAAAAAAGAGAAATATTATTCTTTTGATTTTCCTCAACTTTTAAAAACACAAAACTACTTTTAGATCACAGGCCCTAAAAAAATGTGGTAAACCAGGCTGGGCATGGTAGCTCATGCCTGTAATCCCAGCATTTAGAGAGGCCAAAGTGGTAGAATTGCTTGAGCCCAGGAGTTCGAGACCAGCCGAGACAACATAGTGAGACCTCATCTCTACCAAAAAAAGTTTTTTAATTAGCTGGGCATGGTGGTATGTGCTTATAGTCCCAGCTACTTGAAAAGCTGAGGTGGGAAGATTGCCTAAGCCCAGAAGTTCAAAGTTGTGGTGAACCATGGTCATGCCTGGATACATGCCATGTACTCCAGCCTGGGTGACAGGGTGAGACTCTGACTCAAAAAAGTGTGTGTGTGTGTGTGTTTGTGTGTGTGTGTGTGTGTGTGTCCAGTTGTTAAATTAATTTGGAAATATCTGTGCAAATTCATGATGCTTTTTATTTCTAAATATGGGCTTTTCTAGCTATGTCTATTGAAAAGGCCTAGAAGCAGTAATAACCCACTAGCAATAATCACTCCTAGCACCCAGATTGTGGTCTCTAAGCACCCTTTCTCACTAAATGAAAACAATCATTCTAGGAGGAAAGTCTGATTCCAGAACTGGGGCAAAAATGTGAGTGTGTGTATTTGTATCACAAGCCTGAATCTTGTTATACCAAAAAGCAAATCATCAAAGACAAGTGGAGTCATATCATGGAATACAGGAGATAACCCAAGGGGCCTCTTCACTGACTGTAGATGGAACAATTTTAGCATTTTATTAACCCAAAGATTTAATGAGAAAAGAAGTGGGAAGGGAGGCAGCACCAAGTGAGGAAAGGATTTATATGCCATGCTAAGGAATGGGGCTTTATCCTAAAAGTAGTGAAGACTGATTAAAGAACTATAATACAGAGAACACATGTTCAGTTTTGCCTTTTAGAAAGATAGATGAGGCAAGGTATTTAGAGCTTGTGGCATAATGGAAATAATATGGAGATTGAAGTCAGACCTAGTTTTGAATTCCATCATCTTCATTTACCAGCTCAGTGAATGTAGGAATTTAATCTCTGAACTTCAATTTCCTCAAAATTAAATTCAAAGCATTAAATTAGATGATATATTGGAAAATGCTTACCTGGTTCTGGCACATGGTAATATTCAATAATTTCTCCCCCCAAGGTAACTCAATTAGCAGCTTGCATTAACACCTGCTAATCTGACACAAATAACTAGAAGAATCCTAATGTTCACTGAAGAAGAAAATTAAGGAAATGGAAGAGATTGGGGCAAAGGGTGAAACTAACAAATTCAGGTTTTAGTCATAATGAGGCTGAGATTCCCGACAAATGTGAAATTGGAGATGTTGGTAGAATATGAGTTTGAATTCAGGAAAGAGGTCCAAAAGGAAGATGTTCAATTTGTAAATCACCAGTGTACACAGGTGGGTGATGAGGATGAAGAGATGCAAACATTTTCTCACACACAAAGGGAACGGCTTGTTTACTGTTGGTGGGAATGTAAATTGGTGCAGCCATTATGGAAAACAACCTGGAGTTTCCTCAAAAACTTAAAAGCATAACTGCCATCTGACCCAGAAATCACTGGGTATACACCCAAAGGAAATGAAATCAGCACTTCATACTGATACCATGTTTGTTGCAGCATAGTTCATAGTAGCCAAGATATGGAAACAACCTAAGTGGTCATCAGTGGATGAACAGATAAAGAAATGGTGGTAGATATGTATGATGGAATACCATTGTTCAGCCTTAAAAAAAAAGGAGATACTGCTTATTTGCAGCAACATGAATGCACCTGGGCGACATTGTGCTAAGTAAAATAAACTGTATACAGAAAAATATTGCTTGATCTCACTTATGCAGGGAATCTTAAAAATGAAACAGAAACAGAGAGGAGAACGGTGGTTGCCAGGGGCTAAGAGGAAGAGAAAATGGAAAGGTGAAGGTCAAAGGGTACAAACCTGCAATTACATAAGATGAATAAGTCCAGAGAGCTAATGTACAGCATGATGAATACGGTTAATATCATATTGTATCTATCATACTTGGTGATCTATCACAGAAACAAAGAACAGAGTACCACATGTTCACACTCATAAGCAGACCCTGAATATTTACCCTAATACTAAAAGAAAGGGATTGACAATGTTAGGATACTGCCTGGGTAGGGGGATAACAGGGAACACAACATCAGTAAGGGTACCTGATCTCAAACTATGCAAAGTGGGGACCAAAGGGAGGCCCAAATTTTACCTGTCAAATGTCCACTTGTATAACTAATCCTGAATTGTACCCCACATCTTTAAAATAAAATTTTTTTAAAAAATCATATTGCATACTATTTGCTAGGAGACTAGATTTTAAAAAGGTAACTGTGAAGTTATGGATATGCTATCTTGCTTGGCTGTAGTGATCATTTCACTATGTATGTGTACAATCAAAACATCACATTGTCTGCCTTAAATATATACAATAAAAATAAATACATGGCTGGGCGCGGTGGCTCAAGCCTGTAATCCCAGCACTTTGGGGGGCCGAGAAGAGAGGATCGCCTGAGCCCACAGGTTCAAGACCCGCCTGGGCAACATGGTGAGACCTTGCCTCTACAATAAATCAAAGAATTAGCCAGGCGTGGTAGCGCACGCCTGTAGTTCCGGCTACTTGGAAGGCTGAGGCAGAAGGATCGCCGGAGGCCAGCAGGTCGACACTGGGGTGGCCGAGTGTACCACTGCACTCCAGCCTGGGTGATGGAGTGAGACTCCAACTCAAAATAAATACATACATACATAAAATTTCTAAAAAAAAAAACTCCCCCATGCAATGCAAATACATTTTTAAATACATCAGTCTTTCATGTATGTCTCTGCACCACTCTGCATGCTGCTCCTTCTGACTAGAATGCTCTCCTTCAGATTCTGCAACCCATCAAACTCCTATTCACTCTTCAAAACCCAATGTAAACTGTATTTCTTCTGTGATGTTTTCCCTAACTCCCCCAGGAAGAATAATGTTTTTACAGTATTTTGGTATTTATTCTATAATAGAAACAAAAACATATATTTTTAAAATATCTGTCATCTCTAATAGACTGTGAGCATCTTGAAGAAAGACTACGTTTTGCATTGTTTTTCCCAAAGAGAACTTTTATTAAAACATGTATGGGATTCTACAGTCTCTTTGGACAATTCCCAAATCCACAACTGAGTGCTTTGAGGACAAGAACCAAGGACGGAATGGCATTTGATGCTGAAATGTACTTTATCATCTACACTAATTAATTGACTCACTGAAATAACCCTTTCACCAAGTTAGAAAAATAAGTGTCTGTAAAGTATCTTTAGAAAAATATGTAGGGTACCTGCATAATCAACGTTTGCATACCTAACCCTGAATTGTACTCCACATCTTTATAATTAAAAAAAAGAATTAAAAAAAAGAAAAGTATGTATCATTTGAAAAACATCAAAATTTAACATTTACCATACAAAATGCTCATAAAACATGTGTGACTGTGCTTCTCAAGACTGTGAGGTCAATCCTGTCACCGTGTCTGCAACCTTGGTCACATTATGCCTAGACATTCCGGTTTTGTTCTCAGGGTTCTTGTTGACAGTTCTGGTGTTAAAGAGAAGAGATCCGGAAACCTCATCCCATGTATCTCATTACCAATAAAAGAGAGATTTGTTTGCATGCTGAACAGACCACACAGGCTGTCATACTGTATGAAATTAACCTGAGAATTAATCCTTTAAAACATAAATATGTGAATGTTTAAAATTTCATAGTAATCCCTAGAAATTAATTACTAGTTCTCTCACCTTATATCCAATATAGTGAAAGTTAACTTTCTTTATTTTTTCCCCCAAAACATTTCTCTTAATCCACAGCCCTCCCCTGGGTGAGTCAAGGTTTTTGACACTCTAAGGCATCAACACAGAGCAAAAGATACCTCAGAGCTAGTGACAGTCTCCCCATTCCTTAATCTCCCCATTCTATTTCTAACAATTAAGATTTCAATTTCAAATATACCCATATGATCTTCAAAACCCCAGACAAGAACCCCACTCGCAAAAACAAAATCACCCTTATGTACAGTAAAAACATTCCTTCTGTGTCAAGCCTTCTAAGGCTGATAGCTGGCAGCATCTTCCTTAAAGACAGGGTTTTCCTTCTTAGCTTCGCAGTCCCTGGTGGTTCCATACCCTGCGCACCCTGAATGGCAATTATCAATAATTCAAAAAATAACAGTTGCTGGAGAGGGTGTGACGAAAGGGAACACTTCTACACTGTTGGTGGGAGTGCAAACTAGTGCAACCTCTGTGGAAAATAGTATGGCAATTCCTAAAAGTTCTAAATATTGACCTCCCATATGACCCCGCAATCCCCCTACTGGGAATATACCCTGAAGAACTCAAATCACTCTATAAAAAAGATACCTGCACACGTATGTTTATCGCAGCATTGTTCA